AAACTGATACATAAGTCCTAATCATTGATCTAAAATCACAATCTAATGTCACTGACAAAATAGAGAAAATAAATAATAAAGCAATAAAACTGATACATAAGTCCTAATCATTGATCTAAAATCACAATCTAATGTCACTGACAAAATAGAGAAAATAAATAATAAAGCAATAAAACTGATACATAAGTCCTAATCATTGATCTAAAATCACAATCTAATGTCACTGACAAAATAGAGAAAATAAATAATAAAGGAATAAAACTGATACATAAGTCCTAACCATTGATCTAAAATCACAATCTAATGTCACTGACAAAAATAGAGAAAATTAATATTAAAGGTGTCCTAAACATTGATCTTAAATCAAAATCTAATGCCACTGACAAAATAGAGAAAATAAATAATAAAGGAATAAAACTGATACGTAAGTCCTAACCATTGATCTAAAATCACAATCTAATGTCACTGACAAAAATAAAGAAAATTGATATTAAAGGTGTCCTAAACATTGATCTTAAATCAAAATCTAATGCCACTGACAAAATAGAGAAAATAAATAATAAAGGAATAAAACTGATACGTAAGTCCTAACCATTGATCTAAAATCACAATCTAATGTCACTGACAAAAATAAAGAAAATTAATATTAAAGGTGTCCTAAACATTGATCTTAAATCAAAATCTAATGCCACTGACAAAATAGAGAAAATAAATAATAAAGGAATAAAACTGATACATAAGTCCTAACCATTGATCTAAAATCACAATCTAATGTCACTGACAAAAATAAAGAAAATTAATATTAAAGGTGTCCTAAACATTGATCTTAAATCAAAATCTAATGCCACTGACAAAATAGAGAAAATAAATAATAAAGGAATAAAACTGATACAAAAGTCCTAACCATTGATCTAAAATCACAATCTAATGTCACTGACAAAATAGAGAAAATAAAAGATAAAGGAATAAAACTGATACATAAGTCCTAACCATTGATCTAAAATCATAATCTAATGTCACTGACCAAAACAAGAAAAATAAGAAAATATTTCCATTTAAGTCCCCTAATCAATACTTATATTTTAGCCATTGAAAATAGATTTTAAATAATGGAAGTAAAACATTTTAGGTCACAACCACGCGTATTAATGAAAAAAATTCATATGATACATTTTTATCTGGAACGATCCAGGATTTTGACTGGGGGTTTCTTATAGATAGGTATGATTTTTATAGGTACATATCAATTTTCTGATTGTGATATGAATACTAGTTTTGATAGGTATATGTCAGTTTTCTCCTTGTGATTTAAATCATAGTTTTGATAGGTATGTAGCACAGCATGCTTACTTCTTTGAAACACCTGATGGTACTTCTCTTTTAAAGAGCCTACTGCTATACTACCTTTATTTCCGATTTTGGATGAAATTTTTTATTGATGGAATTATCTTGCTTGCAAGGATTTTTATTATCTACCAGTTTTCATCTTGTGACAACAAACTTTAAAGACTAACAATATTAATTTGACGGCATAACTAAAATATAACTTGCCAGAACTTTCAAGAAAGTATAAAACATACAGCTTTATGGAACAAAAAGCACTGGTAAAAGTTGTATGCAACGTTTCGGTGTGTTCCTCCAGTAAATATACAATTAATAAAAAAGCATTAGTGTCTTGTTAAAGTTTTATGCCACGTTTCGATATATTTGGCCTCTAAAACATACAATTAATGAAGTAGTAATGGTACCTAACCTAACTAACTACGAACAGTCTATAACAGGGGTTTTCTATTTATAATCCCATTCAGGATCCTTGATCGATTGCATTAACCCCCCCCCCCC